CCCAGCCCCGCTGTCCCCTCCCGCCCCGCGTCGCGCGCCAGACCGCGCGGGCGCAACTTTCTTAAAGGGACAGGTGGCCGGAATCCGAGTCTACCTGGGGCCGCGATTCGGCCTCCGGTCCGGTTGTCCCCACTTTAGGGGAGAGACGAGGTTGCAACAGATCTCTCCAGCCACCCACCTATTCCCCGTTGCCCCAACCCCGACGCAGTGACGGATTGCAAGTTTTAATGCACCCAGCATCCTTTTACAATTTAATTCATTTGGCCTAAATCGCCCTTCCACTGCTACTCAACGCAGTTGCTGGCACTGTGGGCAAAGTGTCCCTACCCTGGAGCCCCACCCCACCTGGAGTCCCGGGGTGTGCAAAGCTTGATGCTGCTGGGATACGCCCTCTGCAATCCCCTTGACCCTGCCCTGTAACTGACCCTAGGGGAAAAAGCCCCCCGCACGGCTACTGCGCATGCTCTGAGCTGGACAGCTCCAGAGAGGGAAATTTAAAAACGGTTCTTGCTGCGACGGCGGCCAAATTGCAGAAGGCGAGGGGCGAGCGCGAGGGTGTATCCCTCCGAAACCCTCGCCCGCCCCAGGAGCGCCGGTAGCGGCGGCCCGGCGAGGATCCGCTCCAGGTACCGCCTTTCAGGGTCGGCTTTGCTCCCTCCTCCCGGACAGTGCCCTGCATTGCATTTCCAGGGTGGAGACAGGCGCAGGAGCTGTGGGGGCTGCCTCTCTCTGCTCCCCCATTTTCCTTCCGGGGTGTACCTGAATGACTTTTGGGGCTGCTCTGAGAGTTTATGGTGGGTGTCTGTGTACGTTTCAGGTTCGGAGTTTGAAAAACTTAGGGACGATTTCTTTTTTTAAAGCTGTGTTTGTGTGTGGCCAGGGTAGGGTGGGGGTTGGATGGGTTTTCCGACAAGGGCATGTGGCATTTCTGAAGGCATTCCTAGGGCGGGAGCCATGTGGGGATTATTCCCTTTGCAAGTGGGAATTTGGCTTCCCCAGAGAAACATACGTGACACATCAAGCCGTCCTTTTTCGTTTATTTTTTATTTTCAAAGTGATCATAACTGAGCTGCAGTTGAACATACTAGGCTTGGAAGGGAATCTGATTTTTCTGATTCCTACTTTGCAAACCCACATTTTCCAAGACTTGACATTTAGATTCTAGAGCCTCCCTCTGCCCTTCCCCCATTAATTAGAAAGAACCTGGAATTTCATTCTATTCTCTTCATTTGCTTCTAAAACCCTGTAGAATTGCCCTGGGAAAGTGACCTGTGACGCCCAGCAATCCTCTACTTTCTTTCTTTCTCTCTCTCTCTTTCTTTCTTTCTTTTTCTTTCTTTCTTTCTTTCTTTCTTTCTTTCTTTCTTTCTTTCTTTCTTTCTTTCTTTCTTTCTTTCTTTCTTTCTTTCTTTCTTTTTCTTTCTTTCTTTCTTTCTTTCTTTCTTTCTTTCTTTCTTTCTCTCTCTCTCTCTCTCTCTCTCTCTCTCTCTCTCTCTCTCTCTCTCTTCTTTCTTTTTTCTTTCTTTCTTTCTCTCTCTCTCTTTCTTTCTTTTTTTTTCTTTCTTTTCTTTCTCTCTCTCTCTCTCTCTTCCTTTTTTTTTCTTTTTTAAATATTCTGTTAGTTGTTTGAGCTCCATCCTTTCTGAATTGTGGGAAAACTGTGGGTTTCTGCCCTGTCCACATCGTTGCTCATGGGAGCTTTGTTTTCTGCTTGTCTTTCCCCAAGGAGATGATAGAAAGTGACATCTCATCCATAATGTCAGGAATTATTCGAAACTCAGGGCAAAATCACCACCCCTCTCCACAGGAATACAGGTGAGGGCTTCAACAATAACCAACAATATATTTTGTAATTGTTTAAAGTGTATATGTGCTGTTTATGGTTTCTGAAAACTATTACATTCAATCCTGAGATTTTGTGGGAGATCTAGAAAGTCTTGATTTCAAGATTGATCTCTGTGAGGGTGTTGTGCCTGTGGGCTCGTGGCCTGGGGCGATGGGACCACGGAATGCCTGCAGACTTTTGTCCCCTCCAGGAGAGGTCCTCTCCTGGGTTAGAGACTGGGTTAGGATGTGAATGTTAAGATAACAACAGCAGCTATTGCCTTCCCTCCAATGGCCCTAATGGGGCTCCAGGAAATTCCCCCAAAAGCTTTTTTTGGGGGGAGGATTGACTTCTTTTCTCCTTGGATGTTGGAAAAATTGTGAATTAAAATTCCTGGGTTCTTAGCCTGGTTGTATGACTTTCAGCAAGTCCCTTGCCCTCTCTGGGCTTCTCCCTCTTCAGTGAATGATGCTCTTGAATTAGATGGTCTTAAGGTCTCTTCTCGGTCTCCTTTATTGGAAGAATAAATTAGATGGAGACTGAGGCCAAAATAAATTATTTCTTGAGGCTGGATGAAGTGAGATACAAGTGTGTGTATCTTTTTCATCTTTTTTATCTTCCAACCTCAGACCTAGAGAGGCCCTTAGATGGGTAAACCGGTCCAGCCCCCTTCTTTTACAGATGGGGAAACTGAGGTCAAGAGAGGAGAAGGGGCTTGTCCAAGGTGACACGGTAAATAAGAGAGAGGAGAAGAAAAAAGGAAGGACCTGGAGTTCCTCCCAGCTTCTCTCCCTCCAGCCGGGGTCCGCGCGGGGCTGGGCTACACGGGTTCCCAGCCCTCCCCATCCCATGGCAAGCACCATACTCATGGGTTGAAGGGTACAGCCCAGATTATGGAGTGGGAGACAGGACAGAGGCTGGCCTGGGAAAAGCAGGCTGTCACCTCAGACCACCCCCACGGACCCCTGGGGCCACTGCAACTCACCAGCAGTGCCTTGTGGGGCAACAGCAGAGGGCTGCTGCTTCCTGAGAGCTATGGGTCCGGAGGCTGCCTTCTGAGACACAAATAAGGACACATATTCAAACAGGAATTTGCCGAGAGTCTGCCGTATGTGGAGCTGGGATGCCAGATGTGGGCCAGCCACCCAGCGGTTTGTTAGCACCTACTGCCCTCACTCACTTCAGCCTGGGAGGCTGCTTTGATGAGTCCTGTTGTACGGGTGGGGAAACTGAGGCTCAGAGCAATGAAGTGGCTTTTCCCAAGATCATACAACCAAAGACCTCTGGGCTTCCCTCCAATGCTGAATGGGTTTAAATAATGACAAGTGAATTGGGAGCAGCCTAAGGGTTAGGAGCTTGGGCTCTGGAGTTAGAATCCCAGTTCCCTGGCTATGTGGAGCTCTCTGAGCCCCAGTTTCCTCATCTATAAGACGAGGATAGAAATATTACCCACTGCATGAGTACAATATAAAGACTGAATAACAATGTCTGACTCTGCCACTTGCCAATTGTATGATCGTGGGCAAATCCTGGGTGCCTGGCCTTTCTTATCCACGTGGATTCAGGGCTGTCTTCTTATATTAAAGAGCTAGCATATCCAGAAGGCAGAATAACATCATCATCATCATCTCATCATCATCATCATCATCATCATCATCTATGGTTTCTTAACATTTTAGTAACTGCTGGCCCTGTGCCACAACCACCCCATCAGAGTAGCACTATTGTGCCCACGTAGGAAATGAGGAAAACAAGCATCAACCAGATCAAATGGCTTTCTTAACAAGATGACACAGCTAGTTTTGGGTAAAGTGAAAACTTGAACCTCAGGCTATTGCACCCAGAGGGTATTGTGGCTACCGCACCCCATCGGTGAAGAGTACAGGTGCAAGAACAAAGTAAGTTGCTCTACCACCTTGCAGCTGTGTGACCCAGAACAAGTCACTGACCCTCTCTGTTCCTCGGTTTCTTCATCTGTGCAATGGAACAATGAGAGGACCCAATTCACAGGTTATTGAGAGGATTCTGTGCCTCCATCTAGAAAAGGCCTGGAACAGAGTGCTTTCTCATGGAGGGGGAGCTTTTATGATCATGCAGCCACCCCCCTGCCCCTTCCAACCACTCCCATTTTTCTCCCCACATAATAGCCCCGGAGAAGTTTATGAGCTTCTGATCCCCCCTCCCACATCTCCATGAATGGTTCCAAGGACCACTCAGGCTGCCGGTCCTGCCTGGTTCCAGCCCCCATCCAGCCCTCCACTAAGCTGCCTGCCACTCCATCCCCAGGGGCCAAATTTGGCCGTTAACTTTCAATGGCTGTGTGCAGGGAGGTGGAGGGAATGGGCAGCAGCTGGAGGCTGCCCTGTCTCCAGGGAGCTGTCGGGAGTCAGTGTCCTGGCCTAAACAGCAAACTGGCAGCAGTCTCCCCACCTGCAACACTGTGGCCAGGGGCCAGGGGGTGGGGGCAACCCTGACCTCCTGGGCAACAGCAAACAGCACTTGCTCAATGTGGGTTAGCCAGTTTCCCCTTGGCTCAAAGGCTAGGAGAAGAATCCACTCTTAAAGGTACTGAAAAATGGAATAATCAAGCACCTACTGTGTCCCAAGCACATGCTAAGCTCCTTAGCAAGTGCACTATCCCATTTCATCTTTATAGAAACAACCGTGTTATAGGTGCTGGCAATATCCCAATTTACAGCCAAGGATGCCAGGGCCCGGAGCCATGACTTGCCCAAAGGCATGCATTCAGGGAGAGTCAGAACTGCAAATATTAACTACCTGCCCCAACCTTTGGAATTTGTTCTAGAGGTCAAGTCCAACAACCTCCTTTTACAATTTGGGAAACTGAGGCCTAGGGAGGCAAGAGAAGGCAGGCTATTGGCAGCTCGGACCCTCACGTTCTTCCAGGGCCATGTGGCTCAGTGGTTCTCCTTATAAATCTTTGTGCCCCAGACCCTTAGTCCCTCCTCTAAGAAATGAGGTGACCTTGGGCAAAACCCTTCTCCTCTCTGGAAGGTGGTTTTCTCATCTTCGAACCATACTGCGGGGCGCACAGTAGATACTTAATAAATATTCATTGGGTGGATGGATGGATGGTTCAATGAACATCGTGAAAAATAATATGTCAATGGAAATGCAGGAAGGCTGTAGGCTCGAAGGATGAAGTCCTGTTGCATGGACCAGGACAGGCAGACACCACCTGCCTGCACTCTTAAGCCCCCACTGAGCTGTGTAAGGGGATGGTTTAACCCCCATAACAGTGTGGCTCCACCCATGAGCCGTAACATCCTTGCAGGGGGTTGGGGGCTCCATCTGTCAGGGGCGTGTCTATCCCAATATCTTTACAACTCTTCGCCCTCAGGGTGCCAGAACAGCTCCTCAGGGCGCCTGTGGGCAAGGAAGAGAAGTAACTTTCTTGAGGTCCAGCCCTCCTTTGGGGTCTTGTAGTTCCACCCCTATAAATGTGTGTTCATGAGCATGTGCGCACACGCACACACACCCACACACACCAAGTCCCAAGGCAAATCCTAGAAAGGGAAGTTTCTCTTTTCCAAATTCCTAATCAAATCGTTTCACATTATACTCGCTCTTGGCCCAGGTGGGAATTTCTGAGCTTGCTAAATTGCTTTTGATTTTCTTTTTCCTGGAAACAGTTACAAAGGCTATTACAAAAGATATGTTAGCTAAATAAACACCTCCGTGAAATGCTTAATCCCTTTTGTGTAAAAGTTGGATTAGAAATAAGAACAGTTTGTGGTGACGTAACAGTTTCTTACCAATCACATCTGGAGAAGGCAGGTGAAATTTCTTCTTGTAACCAGGGCAAATGTGATGTCCCAGGGAGGGCCGCATGTGCCTCTGCACTGCTGAGATGGTGAGCTGACCCCCAGAGACAATATTTTCTGGGCAAACCCCTCCCAGGGACCATGCAAGGCAAGAGGAAAGAACACAGTGGGAAGGAAGAAGGAAACGTTGTACGCGGGGCCCTGTGTTACAGTTTATCCGATCTTATCCTCATGACTGCCCTCTGTGGTCGAAATCTTTATCGGTCCATTTTACAGATGAGGAAACTGAGGCACAGAGAGGGGAAAAAGGAAACGTGGTTTGAGTACCTGCTGTATGCGGGGCCCTGTGTTACAGTTTCTCCCATCTTATCCTCATGACTGCCCTCTGTGATCGAAATCATTATCGGTCCATTTTACAGATGAGGAAACTGAGCCACAGAGAGGTGAAGTGACTTGCCTAAGGTCCCACAGCTGCAAAGGGGTTGAGATGGGATTCAAACCCCAAAACGGATGGTCCTTCCACTGCACAGTTGCTGCATCAGCTCTAAGGAACACCAAGCTAGGAAATAAAGGGTTCGATGTAGGCTCTAGACTTCAGCCCTGTAGGCAAAGATCCCCACAGGAACTGTAATCCATGCACAAATATGCGTGGCCCCTGCAGCTCCTCAGCGAGTGCATCTTCCCATTTCACCTTTCAACAGGACAGTGACCATGGGCTCCAGTTCACCTTGGGTGGACAAATATTTGTGGGCTGGTCACTGTGCCTGCAATCAGGTGTGAGACAAAGTCATCCCTGTCCTCTAGGAGTTTAGCATCTAGAAGGCAGAGATAGATGAGAAGAGATGCCTGAGTGAAATTAATGGGTGATCTCAAGAGTCTATGCTGTGTGTAGACATTAATGGCCTGAATCATTCCGGGCAATGAAAGATTGGGAGACTGGTCTGGGAGGGCTTCCTGGGGGCGGCGGTGTGTAAGCTGGGCAGGAAATAAATAGAGATTGGTGAATGCAAGATAGGTTGGGGCTGGGCTAAGGGATCTTTCCTCCCTCTCCTGCTCCAGCAGGTATGTAATAAAGCCCAGAGGGTGCCGGCTTTGTGCTGAGTGGTGAAAAAAACAGAGGGCCTCCCATCCTTGCCCTCTTAGAGTGGAAAGAGTAGAAACACATTTATAAGTGAATACTTTGTTGCAAAATGCTAAATGTTCTT